CTGTCGCCCAGGCTGGAGTGCAGTGGCACTATCTCAGCTCACTGCAAGCTCCGCCTCCTGGGTTCACGCCATTCTCCTGCCTCAGCCTCCCGAGTAGCTGGGACTACAGGCGCCTGCCACCACGCCCGGCTAATTTTTTTTTTTTCGTATTTTTAGTAGAGATGGGGTTTCACCGTGTTAGCCAGGATGGTCTCGATCTCCTGACCTCGTGATCCACCCACCTCGGCCTCCCAAAGTGCTGGGATTACAGGCTTGAGCCACCGCGCCCGGCCCTCAATGTTTTAATAGGCTTTATTTTTAGAGCCATTTTAGGTTTACAAGAAAATTATTCAGAAATTACAGTTCCTATAAATCTCCTCTGCCCAAGTATTTTTTCCTACTCATGTTTTGCATTGGTGTGGTATGTTACAGTTGATAAACTATTGTTGATACATTATTATTAACTAAAGCCTAGAGTTTACATTAGGGTTCGCTTTATGTTTTGCACTGTTCTATGCTCCATAAATGCATAATGTCACGTATCTACCATTACAGTGTTATATAGAATTGTTTCACTCCCCTAAAAATGCCCCGTGATCTACTTTATTGTCTCGCTTCCCCCCTTGAACCCATGGCCACCACTGATCTCTTTACTGTTTACGTAGTTTTGCCTTCTCCACAGTGTTATGTAGTTGGACTCACACAACATGCAACTTTTTCAGATTGACTTTCACCTAACAATTTGCATTTTAGGTTCCTCCGTGCCTTTTCATAACTTGGTAGCTCATTTCTTTATGCCACTGAAGGATACTCCATTGTGTGGTTGTACCACAGTTTGGTTTTTCACTCACACCGTGAACTGCATCTCGGTTGCTTCCATTTTTTGGGTAATCATGTATAAAGTTGCAATAAATATTTGTATGTAGGTATTCCTGTGGATTTAGGCTTTTAACCCACTTGGGTAAAATACCTAGCAAGATTGCTGGATTTTCAGGGTATGCATAAGTTTAGAAAGAACATAAGAAACTTTCAAGAAAGTTTGTAAGAAACTCCTTGACTGGTTCCAAAGTGGCTCTACCATTTTTCATTCCCACCGGCAACGAATGACAGTTCTCAGTGCTCCACATCCACACCGGAATTTGGTATTGGAGACAAGTGTTGTAAAGACATAGTTTGATTGAATCTGCGGATGTGGTAGATGTGGGTGGGAGATGTAACTTCCATCTGTGTATTTTTACTTAAGTGAGAAACTGAACTGGGCTTTCAAAGACTGAATTGACATCAACCAAATCCTAATTTTATAGCCAGGATTCTTCATTTAGAGATCCTCACTCAAATTTGTTGTTTGGCCATTTTAATGTTAAATTTCAGGATCTATCTTAAACAAAATAAAGAAAATGATAGAGTTTTCCATTTCTGGGCTATTTTAAATATATATGGAATATTCATGATAGTGATAGTTTATTTAGATTTCCAAATTGGAAAATCATTATTAATGAAAATATATAATGTCTGAACATATTAGTTAAATTTTAGTAACCTTAACCTGTCTGTATTTTAGTTTTCTGACATATAGGAAAACCTTTAGGAAACCTCTAAGATTTCTTTCAGGTCAGAAAAACTAGCCCCATTCTGTCTAATAACAGCACAGGGTTGTAAAATAGAAAATTCAGTTATGGAGGTGTGCGGACTCTAAATTTTCTATGAATACTGGCCAAATACCCGTAATAAGTAAAACCATCAAATTCAAACATAAAAAACCCTCTTCCAGTTGTAAAATGGCATAAATAATTATGTTTTTATGATTTTCTCTCTCAATTAGAGATGGACCCAAACATACTCGTAGACGTCTAACCAATTATGTAACTTTGGGCTCATCACTTAATATTCTTGGGCCACAGTTTATTCATCTTGAGGGTGGTGAATCTTTCAATTGCCTTTTAGCATTAATTAATGCTCTAAAATTCTCCAGGAGTAACGAGAAATTTGAGTTGTCACAATGTGACAGAAGTAAGGTAGAGAAATATTATAGTGATTGTTTATTCTTGTAGACTTTTCAAGAACTGCTAACATCTTGGAAAGCCAGATATTTATATTAAAATTTTATTTTTCACATTGTACTTCTGCCATTGACCTAATAAAACTAAGTTCTTTACAAATGTCTTTATAATTCTTTTTTCAAAGTTAGTAGTTTTGAAATTCTTCCTGATCCAGCCAAGTCATCCATTAAATTTTACTCTTTAGGATATCAGGACATTGATAAGGTATATAACTTCTTTGACTAGGATTTTGAGTGGATACAGTGTTTTAATTGGATGTAATCATATATGATGTGGTAAACTTGTATCCCACTTTTACATCTTCTGTGGAAACTTGAAACATTTTCTAACTCAGTAGATGTTTTATAATTTCCATTTGATAATTTTGATAGTTTTGCTTATGTGGAAACATTTCATGGGGGGCATTGAAGTTTGGATTGATCATGTATAGATTCCCATAGATTTTGATAGCTCTCATAATGCTGACTGTTCACAATGAGGTCACTCATTCTGTGTATTCTTGCCTACATTTTAAGTGTCCAAGTGAATTTTGTTCACTGTCCTAAATGCAACCCTAAGATAAAATTTATTAGTTTCTATGCTGATATAGCATGTCCTTAATTGGATAGTACTCTCATCTTTGTTCTGTTTACTGACAGTGTTCTGTGGCCAGCTGTGTTTATGCAGGATTTACATTTGATAAATGTTTCATAATAATTCATAATAATGTACCATTCTTGGTACACCATAACAGGCAT